ACAGTGCAGTTAGGAAATAGCGCAAGTAAAAGAGCGCACAAGAGATTCTATGTGAGTTTTAATTGTTTCCTATATAACCGCGTCATTCTATTCACTACATTCGGCTCGTTATGTGATTAGGACCGAGCTGTTAAGAATCTTTAGATCGCCTCTTCCAGGGATCCTCTAGTCTAAGTCAGCCTCCCTCGAATACCCCGCGAACTATTACGATTTCTCGTGGAAGAGGCTGGCATTTGCCGTGTGCAGTAATGAAAACCGATTAAACCCGCCTGGACAAAGGGACACACAGTGCTGTTAGGAAATAGTGGACTGAGATGTTTTACACAGATTTATAGAATATAGTTTTTTGCGAAGACGGTAAATTATTGTCAATATAATTCGGTCCAGTCAGTTATTAACAAACTTCTTTTTACAACAACTCTACTGCATATTTAGAGAAAAATGCAACTAAGAACGACAATTCATGAGCCGTTTTTTAATAATTAGAAGAATGGGAATTTCTAAGGTAGATGGATGTGAGTGTAATCATTTGTACAGAACAACACACCACCTTTACTGTCTCGTCAACGAAAAGATGATGGGTCTGACAAATAATCATAAAAAAACTGAAAGTCAAAAAGATATCATTAAACTTATTGTAAACTAAAACTTTTATAAATTTCTGACTAACAGTTTGGTAAATGCAATTTTTCCTACCAAAATTTGATTTTCCTCAGGTATCCCTCAAAACAACCACTGCAGAGTCCCGTCCTGAAAATCCTCTCAGTCCTCACGTTCCTTTATAATTATACTTGGAGTTAATCGATCTTCCTATAGCTAACGACTATACGAACAGGCTCACTTGCAGTACCTTGAATAAATACGCTAAGCTCGCAGCAGCCTGGCTAATACTCGTGGTGCCCTAAATGGTGCTTTTTGTTCTTCTCTTTTCAACCTGTTGAATATAAAGATGACTTAGTCTGTTTGTAATCCCGTATGAGATTAACAAGGACAGACAGGCTTGGTAAGTTTAACAAGAGTGTGACTGCAATAGTTATAGTATATATTCTCTTAGCACAATGATCCTAGTGGCAAGTTACTTAGGGTATGGTGAAATATCGTTTTACTTTTATCATTGAATTCAGAATCTAGTCTCTTACTTTGTGGCTTCTATGGAAATCTATAAATAAACGGACAATGAACTATTGGAGCTGAGAAAGGAGTGACAGTTACATTACGATAACTCCATAGTAATTACAGAATTTCCTCGGTATAACTATAAGTAAAACGCGCCTCGATATAACGCGGACCGAAAAAGGAAATACAGTGGCCACAGTCGACTCTATCCATTTTTGGGGTTTGGCATGGGCAAAAACAATCACAGAATCTTAGGTATTACTTAAATATAATATACTTGTTTGTTGCAGATTCTCTGGCGCGAAACAATGAAGAGAACAAGTTAGAATTTGACAAGATAAGCAAAGGTTGCTATGGAAGAGCATTTTGATCGGTTTTGTGGCAATTGTGTTGTGTTTAAAGTGTTTTATGTTTTATTGGGCTGTATGGGATGGATATTTTGTTGATGTGATTAAAACTTTCTTTTAAGGAATACTCCTAGCTAAATACTTTATCGGACCTTATTTGGACGGACATTACTTGAACGATGGAGGCCCTAACGTTCATTTTAATGTCCGTTCAATTAAAGTCCGTTCATTTTTTTCAAAACTTCTAACTTTTCTTCAAAAATTCTAACTTTTCGTCCAGAATATGACAACTATGAGAACTTTATTGTGCCGTAAGTTAACAACAGAACGGTTCTCCTTGATCTGCCGGAGGCACAGAAAACGTTAATGGTATATGATGTTTTCAAGGGTTACTTGGCGGAAAAAGTCAACGAAATTATGGTACTCAACGACTTAGTTCATGAGCTAGTCCCCGCCAACATGACAAACTTGTTCCAGCCTCTAGATATTACGGTAATCGTGTTGCCAAGGACATTGTCCGACGTTGTTATAGTTCATATTACTCAGGGGAGGTAATGAAACAGTGCTAGGAAAGCTGATCCAGGTGATGTTAAGGTTAACCTAAAGTTGTCTAAGATAAAACCACTTCACGCCGAATGGCTTGTAAAAGTTTACACTGAAATGCAGGACCGGGGTAGTTTGATGAAAAAAGGTTTCCATAAAGCTAGCAATCACTGATGCTTTATTAACGGGTGATACTCGTAAAATATCTGTTCCATATATTACAGCTGACCGTCGACGAGTCCAACTCGGCGCGCGTCCTGGTAGGTTGTAAACCTACAAATGCTTTAAGCATGGACTATAATTTAGTATTTCTTGCACGAAAACCCATTTGATGAAGATGATATGTGATATTAGACACTGATCATGTGCACATATTTTAAAATGTTTACTGCTGAACGACTGCTTTTCTTACTTTCTGAATAAAAAATGGATTTAAAAATCATTTGCTGAAATAAAAAAACGTTAAAAAGAAAGAAAAAGAATTCGGATTTTTGATGGCTTTGAATGCCTTCTAGCGTGCATATTAATGTCCGTTCATAATTATGTCTGTTCATTTAATGTCTGTCCAGATAATAGTAGAGGCTCTTACGGGCAAAAAGACGTGTTTTCTGCTACGAGTTTAGAGACCTAACCGCTAATTGGACACAATAGTATGATGCCTAAGGATCGATAATATGTTAAGAAGTATAAATTTGGCCTTATTAGTCACGTGCTATACCAATGCGCGTTTTAAACTTTGACAGTCTATTACTCTAAGGCAAATAAAGTAATTATATTCATATTTTGTCAGCAATAAGATCACATTGTTTTCTATTTGGTGTGAAAATATGAGCTAGAACGGACATAATCTCGCTGAGTTATAGCTGTTTGAAATTTATGATGAACGCGCGGATGCCAATTGATAACAACTAAATGCTTTTGCGCGTAGTGCGCGTCGAAAATTTGGCAAAAACGCTTGCGGAGTGACAATATTCAAACTTCGATAAAGTATATGAAGTGGGTACTTCTCGGAAAGGAAAAATTTAGGCAAACACGATGTGACTATTTTTGGGTTGATTTAATACAACTGCAAAAAATTATTCAAACTTCAAGCAAAAAAGTCAAAATTTTTACCACTTTTTTGGATTTTTACCTCAGAACAAATAGAGGGATTTGTTTTATTTTTATACAATCTTGTGCGGCTGTCTTTTAGCTATCTTTATGCAAGTTTTGCCCACATGCCAACAAAATTAACTTGCTCAAAATATCAAAAAACATGGTTTTTTGGCCTATTTTTGGCCCAAAAATCGGTTTTTTGCGATTTTACCCCAGAACAATCAGTTCAATCATCTTGAAACCACTTTCAATCGATTCTACGGTCAAAAATACGTCTAGTAAGGTGTATCTGGGGTCCCTAACGTATCGAGCAGACAATGCCCGTAAGAGCCTCTACTATAAGGTCCGATAAGGTATATAACTATTTATATCCTTTACTTTTAGTCACTCTCTATTAATAGCTTTAAAAACTTGCGTTTCGTTGACTTGGTTTAGTGCCCCTCTTTTCAACTGGTTTACTCCCAGCATCATCGATAATGCAGTTGTTATTCCAAGTAGCGGGAAATACGTCCTCGAGCACTCAGCACACCGTATCGATTGTCCAGCCCTCCTTGTCCGATGGGACTGAGAGAAGAAAGTATAGTCAGATAGTTGGCTACCCCAAATCTTGTATCTGACTGTTAGGATTTCTGTCATAGTTAATTTATGTCAATTTTCAATATTTACGTTTTGAAGGAATGAAAGCGATTGTGTGGTTAAGTTTGGCAGCTCGTCAATCGCTGGGAAACGGAAAGAGCAGAAGATGTGAGAATTGGGAGACCCGATTTAAAATCCGGCAAACTAGCCTGGCTCAAGGAGTTACACTCGAATTATAATTTTCGCCCATTGTGGGCCGAGGAATGAGGAGCTTGAAAGGAGCCCGAGATTTAAAAAGCTACCAGTAATAATATGGGGTCACCAGGTAATATCAGTAGACGATCGCGGTCAGTAATAATATGGGGTCACCAGGTAATATCAGTAGACGATCGCGGTCAGTAATAATATGGGGTCACCAGGTAATATCAGTAGACGATCGCGGTCAGTAATAATATGGGGTCACCAGGTAATATCAGTAGACGATCGCGGTCAGTAATAATATGGGGTCACCAGGTAATATCAGTAGACGATCGCGGTCAGTAATAATATGGGGTCACCAGGTAATATCAGTAGACGATCGCGGTCAGTAATAATATGGGGTCACCAGGTAATATCAGTAGACGATCGCGGTCAGTAATAATATGGGGTCACCAGGTAATATCAGTAGACGATCGCTATCAGTAATAATATGGGGTCCCCAGGTAGTATCAGTAGACGATCGCTATCAGTAATAATATGGGGTCACCAGGTAATATCAGTAGACGATCGCGGTGGTGGGCGATAGTTCTCACCTCGTTAAAAATGTAAGAGTACAACTTTTAAAAGGATTTTTGTGTTATATTTTATTTTTTGAGTTTAATGTCATTCTCTCGCATGGAAATGTGGTACGAGATACATATCGAAATTAGTTCCGCTTTTGGTTACCGATTTTGCAACTTCACAATTTTAGAACCATATTTGTAAAGCTGGATTCATCACCTCATCTTGACGATACAAAAAATAATTTATAAAGATCACTGAAGACTTCTTTGAGATAAAAACAACTTGAAATTTACATAAGCTCATGTACATGCTAAAACTGAATCCTACAAAACGGTAAAACAATTTTTGACAGCAACTTCAAGTTACATGTAAAAATGTTTTATCTCAATCAATTTATATTTTTGAAACCGAAAAATTAGTCCTTTTATTTTAATTATCCAGCGGAAAGTGCACCGCACCTTTTTATAACCTGATTTGGAAATGATTTCAATATCTGTAATACAAGGTCAACTTGCTCAACATTCTTACTACTTCATGATAACATGCATTTTAAAAATAATCTTCCAGTTTTTCTATTCTTAATGTCAATTTCTTCAATCCAAAGTTCCATGAAATCATTACGATGTCCCACATATTCATTATTCAACCACTTAATTTTATTTGTTAAAAACAAAAACATGGCTGAAAATGGTGCCTCAAACACGAATACTCATTTTAAACCTCACGATAAGAATTCTGTGTCGTCACCTACTCAATGTTTATTGGAAACCATGCATACACTTAAATACATACACCTAAAGATTAGAGATAATACTGGTCCTACAGATAGTCACTAGTCAGTGTAACACTGCTGATAGTCACTAGTCAGTGTAACACTGCTGATAGTCACTAGTCAGTGTAACACTACTGATAGTCACTAGTCAGTGTAACACTGCTGATAGTCACTAGTCAGTGTAACACTGCTGATAGTCACTAGTCAGTGTAACACTGCTGATAGTCACTAGTCAGTGTAACACTGCTGATAGTCACTAGTCAGTGTAACACTGCTGATAGTCACTAGTCAGTGTAACACTAGTCAGTGTAACACTAGTCAGTGTAACACTGCTGATAGTCACTAGTCAGTGTAACACTACTGATAGTCACTAGTCAGTGTAACACTACTGATAAGTCAGAAGCAACACATACACCCCAGAGGGTGATATACACAGGGGGTATATCTACTGATAAAAAGAGCACAAGTTCACAAGTATAATCCCGATTATATTGAACCCAAATCCTAAAACCAGTAAGAAGATTAAATTCAAAGTTCGTCGTCAAGTCTGTTAAATGGGTAAAGATCTGGCTTTCTTTCAGCTCCGCAGGTGAGGATGGTAACTGTCCAGTAAGGAATGACGCTCAGTCATATTTCTGTCGCTGTCTCTTTTTGACTTTTACGCGGTTTCGGACGTCTTCAAGCTTTTCGAGGTCAATCTGGAATTATTTATAAGTGTTAAGTGCAGTATAAGTGTAAATATTTCATTCAAAATCGCGTTTAAATCATGAAAATATGATAAAAACAGGAGATTACTTTAATCTTTTAAATGATAGAAATATGATAGAAAATAAAAGTAAAACAGGTGGTTACCTCGATGACTTCCTTCATCATTTCTCTGGCGAAACTGTCTTCCAGATGAATAAGAGCCTCCAGCTTCTCAGGTACATCAGGTATCAGCAGGTCTATCAACCTCACTATAGTGAATACGAAGTGCTGAAATGTGCACTTTTATTACCAATGTAGCGGATTAGAAATATTTTAGAGGGTTGTTAATAAATTAAACGGTTTTAGTTAAAACACTGGGACTGTCCCAGTGTTTTAACTTCAAGCAGGTTTAATTTGAGGATATATTCACACTTGCAGAGTACCGCTTATTAATCATTCAAAATCCAAAAGAAGGTTATTATTACGAAGAACTGAGTTTATTATATTTTCAAGTTCCTACCTCGAACACTACAACGAATATAAACTGGACAGCTTTAAGTTTCCACCACCACAGAGATGTTTCACCCTTTTCTAATCTGTAATCCCAGTACCTGTAAATTGTAACATAGTAAAGAACTGCTTTTATTAATAAATAACTTGTGTTACTTTATCGGACGTTATTTTGGACATTGCGTGAACGGAAATAATTTTGAACGTACTTTAAAATGAACACTCGAATGCAATCATGATCAGTATTTAATTTAATTACCTCATCGGACTTTATTTGAACGAACATTAAAATGAACGCTAAACTTATCGCCAGCGTCCAATTAATTTCCGTTCGAATATAGTCCGATAAGGTAATTGTGTTCGGCTTAACAACTTACTTGCAAGTGTCTATCACTTCTTCCCCTAGATCGTTTAATATAGGACCCGTAAAGGAAGACAGATGACCTTTAACGTATGTTGCGAGTCCGTCGTCATGGTTATATTTCCACAGGATTTGAGAAACGAAATCTGATGTAAATGCAATGACGAACGCCTGAGGTGAGCTAAGTAATTAGTTACCTATACTCATTTCTGATGTTATAAATTCTTCGTGCTTTTTCGATATAATCGATCGAATAAATATTCAGAAATCTTCAAATATTAGTAATACTAATAATAATATTGGTAATGATATAAGTAATATTTGTAATTACTTACATTCGTAATGATTGCAATTGAGGCCATATAGTCCAGGATTCCGTACCAAATTCCTGGAAAGGAAATGAATGTCAAATCTAAATATACTTTCAACGTTATTATGTGTTACAGTGTAGATCATGACAACAAAGAATGATAGCTGGAAGGTGAACCATATTTTGTTTTGACACATGACAGTGATTTTGATTTTTTAATTGGTTAATCTCGGTCACATATCACAACAATATGGTTGACCAGTATTCAGGTGTATAAGATGCATAAGGTGGCAGTACATAAATATACTCATGGTAACTACCTGGTGTTATTGTGTATCACGTGATGCCCTAATATGGTATTACATACCTATACTCATGCAGTTGATGGGTATTGGTCTCTTGAGTAGTTCTGTGTATTTCTTAGCATCAAGTCTAATCTCCACCACGTTATTTATGAGAGCAAATAGTGGGGCTACAGGGAAAGCAACAACAAACATTGTTGCGAAACCGTACTGAATAACTGAAAATAAGTTATCGTTGTAGTACTCACTGTGGGGCTTAAAGTTATCTTAAGAAAATTCAAAATCAGTTAAAAAATTGGTGCTTTGTTGAGTAAGCATTACAATTTATAATGAAGCAATCACTAAAATTCAGTAAAAGAACCCACCCATTTCCAAGTACTCTGGGAAAAGGTTCTCCTGCTCAGCCAGATCATTATCAGCCTCCCAGGGTGTGGTCATGGATATTGATATCTGTTCTTTATCAGTACCCGACTGTGAGAGAGTTTTATTGGTCATTGATACTGATATTTGTTCTTTATTTGTGCCAGACTTAGTGAGAGTTTGGTTTGATTATTTTGAACTGTCCTTCATCTCAGTAGACAAACTTTATTGTGTTTAGAGAAGAATGTATAACTTTTATGGATTAATGAATAGAGAAGTTGGATATACACTAACTTGCAGAACTGTATGCCAACAAATTACTGATCGCGGCTGAACGCACCGCAGTGTGCAGTGTGCAGTGTGCACGCATTATGATAAAATAAAGTCAGAACAATAACCTTGCAGACACAACATAACCAACAGCATATCACTAATATCTCCACTCTCCATTGTTCACCAGCCGATAAAACAATAAAACACAACAACAACAAACAAAACACAGCGTCCTGACAGTCAGTAGTAGTGAGTCAGTAGTAGTGAGTCAGTAGTAGTGAGTCAGTAGTAGTGAGTCAGTAGTAGTGAGTCAGCAGTAGTGAGTCAATAGTAGTGAGTCAGTAGTAGTGAGTCAGTAGTAGTGAGTCAGTAGTAGCGAGTCAGTAGTAGCGAGTCAGTAGTAGTGAGTCAGTAGTAGGGAGTCAGTAGTAGCGAGTCAGTAGTAGCGAGTCAGTAGTAGTGAGTCAGTAGTAGTGAGTCAGTAGTAGCGAGTCAGTAGTAGTGAGTCAGTAGTAGTGAGTCAGTTGTAGTGAGTCAGTAGTAGTGAGTCAGTAGTAGTGAGTCAGTAGTAGTGAGTCAGTAGTAGTGAGTCAGTAGTAGTGAGTCAGTAGTAGTGAGTCAGTAGTAGTGAGTCAGTAGTAGCGAGTCAGTAGTAGTGAGTCAGTAGTAGTGAGTCAGCAGTAGTGAGTCAGTAGTAGCGAGTCAGTAGTAGTGAGTCAGTAGTAGTGAGTCAGTAGTAGTGAGTCAGTAGTAGCGAGTCAGTAGTAGTGAGTCAGTAGTAGTGAGTCAGTAGTAGTGAGTCAGTAGTAGCGAGTCAGTAGTAGTGAGTCAGTAGTAGTGAGTCAGTAGTAGTGAGTCAGTAGTAGTGAGTCAGTAGTAGTGAGTCAGTAGTAGTGAGTCAGTAGTAGTGAGTCAGTAGTAGTGAGTCAGTAGTAGTGAGTCAGTAGTAGTGAGTCAGTAGTAGTGAGTCAGTAGTAGTGAGTCAGTAGTAGTGAGTCAATAGTAGTGAGTCAGTAGTAGTGAGTCAGTAGTAGGGAGTCAGTAGTAGCGAGTCAGTAGTAGCGAGTCAGTAGTAGTGAGTCAGTAGTAGTGAGTCAGTTGTAGTGAGTCAGTAGTAGTGAGTCAGTAGTAGTGAGTCAGTAGTAGTGAGTCAGTAGTAGCGAGTCAGTAGTAGTGAGTCAGTAGTAGTGAGTCAGTAGTAGCGAGTCAGTAGTAGTGAGTCAGTAGTAGTGAGTCAGTAGTAGTGAGTCAGTAGTAGCGAGTCAGTAGTAGTGAGTCAGTAGTAGTGAGTCAGTAGTAGTGAGTCAGTAGTAGCGAGTCAGTAGTAGTGAGTCAGTAGTAGCGAGTCAGTAGTAGTGAGTCAGTAGTAGCGAGTCAGTAGTAGTGAGTCAGTAGTAGTGAGTCAGTAGTAGTGAGTCAGTAGTAGCGAGTCAGTAGTAGTGAGTCAGTAGTAGTGAGTCAGTAGTAGTGAGTCAGTAGTAGTGAGTCAGTAGTAGTGAGTCAGTAGTAGTGAGTCAGTAGTAGTGAGTCAGTAGTAGTGAGTCAGTAGTAGTGAGTCAGTAGTAGTGAGTCAGTAGTAGTGAGTCAGTAGTAGTGAGTCAGTAGTAGTGAGTCAGTAGTAGTGAGTCAGTAGTATTGAGTCAGTAGTAGTGAGTCAGTAGTAGTGAGTCAGTAGTAGTGAGTCAGTAGTATTGAGTCAGTAGTAGTGAGTCAGTAGTAGTGAGTCAGTAGTAGTGAGTCAGTAGTAGTGAGTCAGTAGTAGTGAGTCAGTTGTAGTGAGTCAGTAGTAGTGAGTCAGTAGTAGTGAGTCAGTAGTAGTGAGTCAGTAGTAGTGAGTCAGTTGTAGTGAGTCAGTAGTAGTGAGTCAGTAGTAGTGAGTCAGTAGTAGTGAGTCAGTTGTAGTGAGTCAGTAGTAGTGAGTCAGTAGTAGTGAGTCAGTAGTAGTGAGTCAGTAGTAGTGAGTCAGCAGTAGTGAGTCAGCAGTAGTGAGTCAGTAGTAGTGAGTCAGTAGTAGTGAGTCAGTAGTAGTGAGTCAGTAGTAGTGAGTCAGTAGTAGTGAGTCAGTAGTAGTGAGTCAGTAGTAGTGAGTCAGTAGTAGTGAGTCAGTAGTATTGAGTCAGTAGTAGTGAGTCAGTAGTAGTGAGTCAGTAGTAGTGAGTCAGTAGTAGTGAGTCAGTAGTAGTGAGTCAGTAGTAGTGAGTCAGTAGTAGTGAGTCAGTAGTAGTGAGTCAGTAGTAGTGAGTCAGCAGTAGTGAGTCAGTAGTAGTGAATCAGTAGTATTGAGTCAGTAGTAGTGAGTCAGTAGTAGTGAGTCAGTAGTAGTGAGTCAGCAGTAGTGAGTCAGTAGTAGTGAGTCAGTAACTGACCTGATATTGATTAGACTTTCTCCGTGACCACCAGCTCTTCATCATAGGTATGAGGAGTTCCTGGAAGTTGTTCATGATCTGTTTACCAAGGAAGATAATGGCCAAGTTCTCAGCTAACTCTCCTAGACACCCACCAGGACCACACGTGTCCAGACGTATTCCGAATATACGCGTGTAGTTGTAAGGAGTACCAGCGAAACTGAGAGGTCACGTGTTAAATACTGAAAAGTTTATCTCACAATTTGTTTTGCTTTTGAAGCCGCTAAATATAGTTGATCAGATAAACATTAATCAGCATTGTTAAGCTACAAAGGATTTAATAGTAACTTCTCTCAGAAGCTTAACTTACTTTCCCTTGACAAATGCGATGTAGAAACATGAGCCGTAGTAATTGAAAAACTCAAAGATAAATCTTTTAACAGTCAGATTGTTCTGGAATTCCGTTTCTGTTCGGTAATTTTCCCAAAGAGTGATCTTCTCCGCCAACCAAGCATAGACCTGCATTGAGATAGCATATTTTAGATTGCAGATATAGTGAGCAGGACTGAAGCTGGATCTGATTTCTTGAAACTCCATTTCAAATTAATCAACTATCATACAACCACTTCAAGTTGAAATGGTTTTTTCAAAACTGATCTTATTTTTAAGTAAACAAAAACACACAAAATAAGAGTAGCAGACCTGTGATAAGACGGTAATGGCTATAAGTTGTAGTATAGACCCTGAGACAGATGATAAAGTAGCAGCGTAGGGTTTCAGGCTCCCGTTAGACATGTTAGACATGTGGTCGAATATAGAGTACACCGCTATTTTGTAGATAATGATAGAGATCAGGGTTATAATGACTACAATAACCTGCAAATATTCACAGTTTAGTCCAGTGTGAAGCAGAATATTAGATTTAGTCCAGTGTGAAGCAGAATATTAGATTTGTGGGGATAAAAATAGGATATATTAGTAGAACCCAAAACCATTTCCCACTTACTGTGATGATGACAACAGATACGGCTGTGGTAGTTTTGAAAATACTCGGCTCTCGGTACAGCTCAAATCGTAACGTGATCGGATTAAACCTGAAAGATTGAAAGTTAAATCCAACATAATCAGTAGTCAGTACAGTCAATTATCAGGACCTCATAATTCTAGTTTGATCTTCAGCTCTGAACAGAACATCATATTACACTGTGAATAATCGATATAATTCTCAAGTAAGGTGATGAAGCAAACATGGAACTGCTTATACAGCTGACTACTATTACTGAAGTAGAACCCCCTCCCCTTACTATTGTTAAAGTAGAACCCCCTCCCCCTACTATTGTTGAAGTAGAACCCCCTCCCCCTACTATTGTTGAAGTAAAACCCCCTCCCCTACTATTGTTGAAGTAGAACCCCCTCCCCCTACTATTGTTAAAGTAGAACCCCCTCCCCCTACTATTGTTGAAGCAGAACCCCCTCCCCTATTATTGTTGAAGTAGAACCCCCTCCCCCTACTATTGTTGAAGTAGAACCCCCTCCCCCTACTATTGTTGAAGTAGAACCCCCTCCTCTACTATTGTTGAAGTAGAACCCCCCTCCCCCTACTATTGTTGAAGTAGAACCCCCTCCCCCTACTATTGTTGAAGCAGAACCCCCTCCCCCTACTATTGTTGAAGTAGAACCCCCTCCCCCTACTATTGTTGAAGTAGAACCTCCTCCCCCTACTATTGTTGAAGTAGAACCCCCTCCCCCTACTATTGTTGAAGTAGAACCCCCTCCCCCTACTATTGTTGAAGTAGAACCCCCTCCCCCTACTGTTGTTGAAGTAGAACCCACTCCCCTACTATTGTTGAAGTAGAACCCCCTCACCCTACTATTGTTGAAGTAGAACCCCTCCCCTACTATTGTTAAAGTAGAACCCTCCCCCTACTATTGTTGAAGTAGAACCCCCTTCCCCTACTGTTGTTGATGTAGAACCCCTCCCCCTACTATTAGTGATGTAGAACCCCCTCCCCCTACTATTGTTGAAGTAGAACCCCCTCACCCTACTATTGTTGAAGTAGAACCCCCTCCCCTACTATTGTTAAAGTAGAACCCCTCCCCCTACTATTGTTGAAGTAGAACCCCCTCCCCCTACTATTGTTGAAGTAGAACCCCCTCCCCCTATTATTGTTGAAGTAGAACCCCCTCCCCCTACTATTGTTGAAGTAGAACCCCCTCCCCCTACTATTGTTGAAGCAGAACCTCCTCACCCCTACTATTGTTGTAGTAGAACCCCCTCCCCCTACTATTAAAATATTAATGCTCATACCTGACGTCGTCCTCCTCGCACGTGACCGCATATTCCGGTCTGGCTGGTTCCTGGGCGTCCGTAAAGTCAGCCTTGCTCCAGAGGAACGCTAAAGTTATCTGGTAGCGTTTCCAGAACTCCAGGAAGAACGCAGCTGATGGTTTTGTAATTAATTAATGATTGGAATATCAGACATGTAATTTGTAGCTCGGGTAAATCGTTAATTAACGGTAAATTAATGGTAAATCGTTAATTAACTTTGTTCGTATTTGAGAAGAGTGAACTTATTGTGTATGCGTTAAGAGTATAGTAATTGTTTTAGGAACAATCCTTTGGATCCGATCATCATTCATGTCTTCGCGATTTAAAGCGAAATATTTTCCTTGCATAGTTTTTCCCAAATAAATATTGATACACGGTGCAAATATGGAATCATAAATACAAATATAATTAAATCTTAAAGCAGACTTACACCAAAAGGAGATGAATATTGCAAAGAATACCGAACCCCCGTTATTAAACGCATTCGCCACCTGTAAATAATTAATGTCATATGCTAAGGAAAATTTCCATATCACAAAAAATTGATATGATATCAAAAATTGATTTCATGAAAATGTTTCCAGGTTATCAAATTTAATAGCTCATTTCTTCAAATAATACGGAAATCACAATGCACAAGGAAGTAATACATGAAATCATAAGGAAATAATACATGAAATCATAAGGATAATGCAATGAAGGATCATGCGTGCTACAGCTCCTGCTTTGGAATCGAAAATAGAGCAATTTCAGCATTATGAATTACAAAGGTTATAAAGACATCACTCTTAGTGTTCAGATTTCACCCTTATAGTTATAATATGTTGGAGAGGTTACAAAAACAGGAACTTTTAAAAAGGAACACTATTCCTTAGGATTTAGTTAGGAATAGTATTCCTTAGGAATAGATATTCAACTCGACAGCGAAGAAAACCACTAAATCTGTTTCTGTTTGGATTAGCATAACTATAAATATAACCTGTGGAATTTACCAAGCTGCTTCTGCAAAGCAGTCCTGAACGGTCTATAACTAAAAACGGAACAAATCAAACCATGCGTCTGAAACAAGAGATATAAATAAACAAGAGTTGCAAAACGATGAAATAAAATATAAAAACATCCAACTCAATGCATTCCAGACCACTCATGCAGTTAAACTGATCATTCCATATCACGCCTCTCACCATAAATAGATTACAAAATGATTTGAGGTCCACAATATCACACTCTTCATCACAAGCCGGGCATATTGGGGAGTGCGTTTCAGTATTGCTGCTGTTTTCATCGCACACCGCGTCACTGAGGTAGCGCTATTATATTGCTGAGTTGGGGAAAGGAAGGAAGCATTTTAGGTTTGCGTTCAAGTATTGATGTATGTATACGGCTTTGTGACAAAAGGTATCTGTTATATGTTACTGGGAAGGAAATGCGTTTTATCCAATAAACCGCCATGCTTTTTTGTTTTTGGATAAATTTAAATAGGATTTTTGGCGATTTGCTTTTGAATAAATGCTAACGATCGAATAAGCTGCAAGGGAGCTGTGCTGAGGAACTAATGATCACCTCCTACTTTGATAATACTCCTGTAGTTTTACAGTGAATCTGTGAACTGATCAGTAGTACACCACCACTACAAAACTAAATGGTGAAATGCTGCAGTCCGGCCAGTCGTGCCATTTTAGTGAAACAGTTTGCTTTAACCCCTGCATTTTAGTGAAACAGTTTGCTTTATCCCCTGCATATTAGTGAAACAATTTGCTTTATCCCCTGCATATTAGTGAAACAGTTTCACAGTTTATCTCCTGTGCATATAAGACTGCAGAACCACTCACATAGGTAGAGAAGCAGTACATAGCAAGAGGTTCATCAATACACCTATCACAGGCTGAACACATCAGAGCCCCAGAAGTGTCTTCTTCACAAACACCTCCCCTGGAGTTGAACGGGAAATAAGTTCCAGATTACAGTGTTACTATGGTACCACGATAACCATGGTAACCATGGTACCACGGTAACCATGGTACCACGGTAACCATGGTATCACGGTAACCATGGTACCACGGTAACCATGGTACCTTCTCCACATCGTTAACAAGCCATAGTGTCTAGCACATTGTCAGGTTAATTTTATATGAATTTGGTCATTTTGATCCTGCAAATGTTGAATCGCGATACACGATTGGATGAAATTTCGTATTTCGACTCCCGATGGAAGTTTCGTGGTCAATAACTCCATTGAAAACCAGCAATCATCAAATTTCTGGGGGCGAATGATAGTTTGGAAGCTTTAAGTCGTTTACTTTTTAAGTTATGATGATATTTCATATAACACTATTTTTTACCAATTTCACATCTTAATTTAAGTTTCGACCATAACTGTAACAATTCCTTAAAAGTACCATGTTGGGAAGATATATTATTATATAACTTTATTCAAATCAAAAATAGAACATAAATGAACATCTTAAAGATCTGATAAGTAGCCAGAAAAAAAGAAATACTGATACACAAGCTATAACAACTTCTTCCATCCCGCTCTATCAGAGGCTAAAAGTCTTAAATTGTACAAATCGTCTGTATTTACAAATGGAATGTTCCTACTACCTAAATCAAATTTAATAGTCTTAAGCAAGTTCGACTGGTGTCTGCCTACTCTCTACTGCAAAGTGTAATGCAAGCTGTGCAGGTGAGTTGTTATCACTGTTGGGAAGATGACGATCTAATCATTTTAGGTGAATACCGATAATGACTTTCCTGGTCATCAAAACACCAAGTTTGAGCATGATCATGCAGCTATTCCCCGGCTACAAGCACCTTGTTTACACTCCGACAAGCGTTTAGTTGCAGTTTTAGAGAAGATTAAGGAATTAGCTCTATTTAGCGTAGCAGTATGACACGTGGTGCGTGACGTCATAACACGTGGTGTGTGACGTCATAACACGTGGTGTGTGACGTCATAACACGTGGTGTGTGACGTCACTTGTCACCCTCTATTAGCTCTATTTAGCCTAGCAGTATGATGTATGGCATTTGGCATATAGATATTGGCGGTGGTACAGTGCAGCACATGTAGGCCGCACATTGACAGAAGCAGTGACGTCACGGTGACAGCTAAGCAGTGACGTCACTATGACGTCACTCGGACAGAGACTCACAGTGAACTTGAGGCAGTGAGAAGTGGCATTGACCTCCCTGCATTTGTCACACAGGGAGCACAGCCTTCTGCTCCTGATATCAGCTGCCCCGTATTGGTTATATGTGGAGTTACAGAAGTCGTCTCTGTAACCAGGATTATGTTGCTTTATATTATATTATATATATATTATTTGAGGTTATATATATATTATTTGAGGTTCATTTTTAGTTAGCATTTTGAGTTGTCATTAGTGCCAAAAATGAAAATTGTATAGCTTTTTTGGATATCAATGATGTAATAATGCCCACTTAGCACATTTTATAATAAAATGAAAATATGCCACTGAACAGTTAAACCTCAGTACTTTATGAGAACGAGCAAATTCTTTGGTAAATTCTTTGGAAGCACAATAATCAATGACATTTAATCGATATTAATTTAGATCGGGAGAGTTCAATTCGTATCAAAAGTTTATAACTTACACAACTTCGTTGCCGATGATGGAGTAGATATCGTAGGCGAAGACAATGCTACCAACAACCGCTGGAACTATCAGTAACTTTGTGTAAAAACCTGATTGGAAATTACATAAAGATTCAAGCAATTTTGTCATTAAATCCAAATTATGATCCAATTTGATTCTCGAAAAAAAGTTCTGGAACTCTACACTCTACACTCTACACTCTACACTCTACACTCTACACTCAATCACTCAATCAAATTGCAACTCTTAAGTTAACTTGTTGTTTAATTGTATTACTGAGTCATAAATGAACACTTGTAGTACGTACCTATATGGCGGTTGGTCTGCAACTTGTCCCATGCTGATGAACCTGATAATTAAAATATTTGTTGTAAATATCTATAATATTCACACTAGATTCTAGACGGCTAAGTTCGAATTGCAGTCGGAACTGCAGAGTGGAGACGTACATTTTGTTAATTTACTAAAGTAACTGGTAAAAACATTTCTATGGAAATAAAACCAGGTTATATAATAAATTTATAGTCTATTAAACTACATCGATAATAGTATATTATATGGATAACAATAATAATAATATCAGTTTCGGCTGCTCAGGTCAAAATTCGAAAACCTATCATTTTATGCAGCCTAGATTTAATGATTCAAATAAGAAGCGCAGTGTTTCTAAAGTAAGCAGCATTTTAGACCGTAGACTTTTACAATAGCTGGATCAGCTGGCTTAAGGAAAAACAATATATGCTCTTCGCATAAAAAAAACACAATTAAAACGAATGCAAAATTTGTGATTGTACTTCTAGGATCACATATCAAAAATATTTTTAAATAGGACTCAGCAATCAGGCGTAATCTAAACTAGTTTATTGATACTTGGCTTTGCTTTATATTAAAATCTCAGCATTTTGATCCAGCGAAAAATTCTATTTGTACCTCGACTCATATGTCATACGAAACAGTACACTAGAAAATAAGGCTCAACAATTTTAACTTCTGAAGGCGGCTCTGTATCATTCTACATTCTGACAACAGTCCTTCTATGCTATGTCAACAATTTTAAAACCTATTCATTCAACTTATAGGATTTCAAGGTATTACACAAGTGGCAATGATGAATCATGGATGATAATTGATTATTGACGAAAACTCGACAAGCAAGTTTGAAACCCAAAGTAAGAAATCGGGATCAAATATGATTGACACGTAACGCGCGCGTATAACATGTGCTTATCCAATGCGAAACTAAAAGTGGTGAAAATGGAAGAATCGACTGTAGAGTGATTTAGCGCGACCGGGCGAAGTACGTTAATTGACTATGTCAATTCATCGCAGCTCGGCGAGGCACAGTATGCAGTAGCGTTGACATACGTTGTATGCCACTTTTCGCCGATTTCAGATCTGTCGCTGGATATGTAAAAATGAAAAAGCTCCAGGAAGCCTCATTGAGTGCGCGCCGCTGCGCGGCATAGCACAGTAACGCATCGCGCTACAAATAAAACTGTAAATTATGTAAATTATTACTGGCCGCGCTCGCCGGTCAGCTTGTCATTCCGCCTAATCTCCGCCTTTAGTTATTATGAATGGGTAGTGCGCCATCGACAGTGAGCCGCGCGTGCCGACTGTAGGATGGTTTTTTAGCGCTAATTTCGGCCAACACAATTTTCTTCAAACAAATAAATATTAAGTATCCTTCCCGACCTCTGATTGCAACAAAAATTGGTAAGCTTACTCATAGACTTACAAGGAAAGTGTCCGAAAAATTTAAAGCATATCCAACCATCAGACATTATGTTACAGCTAGAAGCAGCGTATTTTGCCCCATTTTGATCATTATATCAACTAGAACTCCGATATCCATCAAATTTTTCGGACAGTTGTGAAAGCCCTATTGGAAGGTCATCGCCAATTTTCAGAATGATCTCATTCAAGGAACCGAAGATAAATCCGAATAACACGACAAAAATCAACGAATTTGGTCAAATTACGCGACTTTTACAGCTAATTTTGCTCCAAAAGCCGCGCACCATAAAATATGGCACCTAAAATGAAACTCGCTAATCTTTCCAAAAAGGTATGACAAATTTGGTATTGTGAAAATTCTCACAGTCTCTAGAAAACAATGGTACAAAAATTTTTTAAATCCGAGCAAGTTTATTTTTATCGTGCACCCCCTATTATATATATATTATGAACATGATAGCCTGAGGTCCCCAGGTAAGTAAATCACAGATCTCGTTGTTTATGTGCGACCGAAATAATAAACCTTTTAAAATCGCTTCGCAATGTTTTTTCTGATTTAAAACTAAATTGAAACCGCAAAAACCATGAATAATGAATTAAATAAATAATAAAGCGAAGTCGTAATTGATTGGTTTGCGCGGCGCGTAATCTCGCCATATTTTATCCTCTTTTACGTTTCGCATTGGATAAAATTTACTTGCTGATTTTGATTTCTTGCAATTGTGCACCCGTCAGTTCGCTTATTGCCAAATCTTGTTTGTTCACCGTAAAGACACTACTAAAAGATCCAATAAACATGGGGACTGTTGCTGGACCAATTGTTATCCTTCCTGTGAAGTCTATCACCAAGTAAGTTAACTCGGCAGTAAGTATAACATGTAAATTATAGTGCAAACTCTTAATATTAATATGGATACCTATATTTGTTTTGATTTGAACATAGTAGAGAATTCATGATTCAAGGTAATTCGGCTGTCAATGTTGGTTGGTTTATCTCTAGACAGTCAGTTAATGATAAAAGCTGGCAGAGTCCTGAGTAACAGCTGTATTATATTTCTAACAGCTGCACCCCGGATCATGCCGACATAACGTTAATGCAGCCCCATACCAATCTGTATAATTAGAATTAGACATGAATACCATCAAATTTTGGGTCAATATTCGCATAACACATTTATGTTCCAATATTGCTGCTTTAGGTTGCTCCAGGTTACTTCAGGTCGCTTCAGGTTGCTTCAGGTTGCTATAACGCTTCATTACGAATGATCGGTAGATTCGAATCTAAGAAATTTACTATCACCAAAAGTTCAAACATAGGCTTCCTGTTAGATCTAAAAACACATTTACATTTCGTTTTAATTTTGCTAACATTAACTGACATTTTACCCATCTACTGGCCTTACAGTTTTTTGTCCCGCTAGCTAACTAGTTTTTATGGCTCTTACTTCATTATGAATGAAAGTGTGAGTGAGAAAACAAAAAGTTTATCATATATACAATGAATTGAATCAAGTGATACAATTGGCAGGGCACAATCATAAATCATGAGCAATAACTCTCATTTACCCCTCGTAGCTCTTCTCCTCGGGGATCAGGTTGAAGATTACATTCGATATAGGGGCAGTCCATGCCTTCTTTGCCTTCCCACGTACACCTCTTACTGCTACTGAGTGAGAAAACTGCTTTCAAGCGTTTATTCATCGACCTTGTGTCCAAAAAATAATTACAAGCACGTCGTTTAAAAGGTTATGCTCGAGAAGTAATTAACTAATTAAGCGTTGTTTCAACTTCTTCTCATTCGATCCTGTTATGACGCATTTTGTGGCAGTCTCCTTTGTGACCATAATGAAAATCGCTGGAAACAAAAGATCGTTGTATTGTGTTGGCTTACTAAGAAGTTTCCCTCTAAACGAAATGTACCTCTAGTATTAACTCAGGAAAGTCACCGCCCACTTTTTTTGTAGCAAATCACAACATTTTATTGTATAATTATGATTGCTTCAAGTTTTGGTGCACTTAATAGAAGCAGTTTTTTCCATTTCTTCTGAGTTTGTGTTCTATAATTTGCAGCAGATCTGATTGTACAATTAGCCAATTTACCTGCTTTTGTTTATTTTTGGTGAACCTGACGCCAAGGTCTATTATAATAGACCTTCATTTATATGTCCGAGGCGGCAAAACCGCCTTGAATAGCTTAACCGTACTACTGCTGGGACGACGTCAGTTTCGTTTTCTGAAAGATAATGTTTGATAAGATTAATGATACAAAAGTCTGCTGTATTTAAATGATATTTTTCTAATTTAAGGAAGAATTTAGCTTAAAACTGCAACTAGACGCTTAAAATCTCTTGGCTGAACGCCATTGCCAACTACCAAGTGTCAGGCAATTTTACGCCAAGTAATCCATTATAATCACTATACTCCTCTGCTCCGTGGTCCACAATATCAAACAACATAGCTCTGTAAATATCCTCGATCCATTGTGGGATGACGGTCACTTTATGACTTTCTCAAATTTAATCGCTTAATTTCTTCCTCTAATTCTACAGGATTATCTCCGTATTGGACTCAGCTTTGTCACAGGAATCCTCATTTTCGTATTATTCAACTCATTTGCAACTGACATTGGTCTACTATCTAGCCATGAGCTCTATTTTCTCGCTATATTTAGCTAAATGACAATTTAAAGTAAGCAGTTGGATTTAACGTTATTGTTAAGGACAGACACATAATGCTACTGTTACATAAAACAAGTCACACTTTATACTGCATTACATGGATACACTCAGTAAATACGAGGTACTACATTAGTAGGAACCACCAACTTCTTAAAATGCAGAACAATATGACCGGAATATGGTGCCCCATTAAAAGATTTCGTAAGATATAAGTACATAAAATTTAAATGTGCGCCCTATTAATCAGCAGGAGGTCACGCATTCCGCTGAAGCTTTAAAAGCTTATAATGGTAAAATTCTTTGATGTGGTAAATAAAGGTTTATATCCCATACAATTACATGACAACATATTGCAAGACCACTGATACGTTCCATTCTCATCTAAACCGCTCACTCTCCCCCATATGGGCCTCACACTAAGTGATAATTTATATAACTTACGTCACTCTGGTGTCGTGAACGCTAAAACTCTTTCGACAAACGGCAGCGTGTTAAAATCAAGCAGCCTTCTCGTATAAACTCAACCAGAAATGTGATGAGTTGTAATATTTTGCATTTATTCGGTTTAACCCTTTTTTATATCATGCATAAAAGCTGTCCTGAAAGATTGACCAGTCTAGGTAGTTGCGAAATCTTGACCTTTTGGCGACTTGAACTCTCCTCATCCGCCTGTTTTATCACTTTACCAGTCAGTAACCGTTACAATAATTTCTCTGTTTAGCAATTCGCCGAATTAATGTGATCAGTGAACGTAGTATTATTATATTGCGTGCCATTCCAGCCTTACGTAGGATTCGCCAAGCCTTACGACATGATATCCCAGAGAGTGCTGTGAAGCCAACACTTTACTACACCATCAATTACAGTGCACGATTGATAGCACTTTTGTAAGCTTTTCGTGTGAATACCTCCTCTATTCATGTAATGACCACATGACATTTGTCTCATGAGTAGAACATGAACTCTGAGAAAGAGAGACACTCAGCAATATAACAGTTGTCATTATTCTCACGACGTCTCCAGTATGCTTTCTCTAAGCTTTCTCTAAGCTTTCTCTAAGCTTTCTATAGGCTGTCTGCCGTCTGGGCCTAGATCTGCTTTAACATGGTTGCAGTATAATGTGATTCAGAGAGCAGGCTAGAAGCTACTAGAGCCCCGTTACGTATTTCAGAACCGTTGTCACTAATAACCTGCCATCTGCCCCAATCGTAAATTAGTTTAACTTGTTTTTGGGCCGCGTGAATTGCTTTTCAATCCGTGCTAGGATCTGTGTGTAATGTTGCTACTATTATCTACGTTATAAAATAAAAGCATGATTATTGAAACTGTCTCCATTGTGAAGTTGACAAGTGAATGATCAGTGCTTTATTTCTCAGCTCCGAGCTCCAACTCGCTGTCTGAATTAAGTTTGTGTTCAAGATATCTTCTCTTTGATAACTTTCTTCGCAGCTAGCTGTATAATCTTGCTCTGGTATCACATGTTCACAATATTTGTCTACAAGCAAATCTATCGAAAGCTCACGTTGATTGGACCTCCTGATTGGAAGTGATTGATCATGTGATTAAATACAGAGCTGTGATTGGAGGATAGCTGGCAGAACGTCTGTTATTAATCAACCCCCTGTCAGTGTAGCGAGTAGGCTCTACAATGTATTGGCCTGCTTGTGTGAACTAGATATAATGCTCCAATCACAGTTTTCGCTTTCTTTCTCCGTCCAATCAGATATTGGTATTTTGTCACGTGGTTTTTAGACTTGTATTTTAATATTCATGAATTAACTGTCAGGCCCGGGTTAATGAGGACGGAGCTATTTGGAAGTTATTATATGAGCATAATGTTTGTAAATTCTCCGTTAGTTTGGTTGAAAGAATCTATTTTTTTCTATATTTAGGAACAATTTTGTGGCATACAATTCATTTTCTAATGTAATATTGCATCACGATTGATGGATAATATTGATAATATCGTGATGGTCGTTGTTGTACATCAATGTTTTAATGTTATCTTCGCTCCTCGCACGCGTTCAATGAACGGAGTATTCTATGAAGACTGAAGAGAAGGCTGTCCTAAAAAAGTAAAATCACGCTGGAATTTTATTGACCTTTCACGTTCATTGATTTATCGATATGTTGCCATTAAACTTTTTTGCTCGCCTTTTGACGGGCTCAAGAGAATTTACAGCTTTATGCTGCCCGTAATCATAATTAATGATCACTACACGTTCTAGCTCATCGACTTTAATATTGTACTTGAGAAAATAGCTCCGAAAACGTGCATACGCGTTTATTATTGACAAATCCGTCTCGTCCTGAGACCTTAATTGTTCAAATAAGTGATTTAAACTGTGCTTGATGGAAAAGTCGCTCTTAAATTCCTTTTGCTTGACGCATGTACTTAAAAATGGCACGCAAACTGAAACTTAAAACGAGCGCATTGTTAACTTAATGAGCTCAAACAAAATGATTTCAGATTTTAAACTGGATTAAAAAAGAACATCAAATAGACTAGAATGGTAAATTCGCAATTCACTCCATAAGATTGATAATTAAAATGGCACTGTTGTAAAATATTTGCAACCAGATGACTATGGTAGTCCCAGGTTTGACATATAATTGAATCTCGGGTCTACAGTTGGCTGGATCTGAGAATACTGTGACGTCATAGCATGACCTCTAGCTCTGGTCTTCTCTTTGAGACCTGACGGACTTACCGCGGCCTCTAATTTTATAATTTCCATCCGTCTGCTCTTAAAGTCCTTTTCGTGCTCCCAGCACCACAAATAACCGTGATCAATAAGTATAATAACCACTCTTTTGTAGGCGCATCGAACAATAATACGCCGTGTACTAGCATTGCAGATATCGCTCTAACTTCACTAGAACTTCACTAGAATCTTTGCCTTGACCTTGACATGCAACTCTGCTCTCTTCTACTACTAAAGTTAGGGTTTGATTTTTACGCTAAGCAGTTTGCTACTTTGTAGGCTATCCCAGCAGCACATGAGTATGTATTTTAAATACCATGGCTCTACTATACCTGGATCTCTACATTTTACTTTCAATCTTTAGTTCGGCCTAAGGAATTGTTATAACCACGGGAGAGCATGCTCAGATCATGGCTTAGAGCTGGAACCTGGACTTTTAGCATTCGCTTTAGGGGCCAGTCTGGTG